GGGGGGCAGAGTCAGCTCGCTCGGCCCGCAGCCCCAGCAGCATCTCCCATCTCCCCCACATCTCCCACACAGAGCGGACCGCACAGAGCGCGCGCCCAGCGGGGACAGGGGTGCCGGGCGTGGGGCGTGGTCTCCCCACGCCGGTCCTCCCCGGGCCTGCAGCTGTGCTTCCATCTCCTGGACGCCGTCTTCTCTGTTTCTCTTATTTCAGAAGCAACAACCTGTGCACAGGCCTTACAACACGCTTAACTCCCACGCGATTACTAGGGTACCGCTCCCCGCCGCACAGGGAGCCACTGTGGGAAAGACACTCCACGGCTCGGTCACCCATTTCTGGGGCCACCACGACCCATAGAGCGGGGAGGAGCTCAACAAACGCTGAAAATGTCCAGGGGCCCTGGCTCAGCGGATAGAGCGGACCGAAGGGTCCCGGGTTCGATTCCCGGTCCGGGCACAGGCCCGGGTTGCAGGGGACGTGCAGGAGGCAGCCGATCCATGATCCTCTCTCATCGTGGATGTTTCTCTCTCTCTCCCTCTCCCTTCCTCTCTGACATCAATAAAAATCTATTTTTAAAAAATAATTTTAAAAAATAAAGTTCAAAAGACACTTGCCAGGTCAGGACCGACTCCCGGTAGGGAATGAACGCTCTCCGGCGGCCCCCGTGCTCCGCCAGCGCCGAGATGACCTTGCCCAGGGTCAGCAGGGACTTGTTGATGCTCACGCCCTCCTGTGGGGGGAGAGACCCGTGAAGGTCAGGTCGCTGCTCAGCAGGTCGACGCCACGCTCCCCTCCACACACTCCCAGCTTCCTGGCGACTCCCAGCCTCCTAACGGCCCTGGAAAGTGACCACAACCAAACAGGGGGCCTCCGGACGCCCCAGCAGTGCAGGCTGTAAGCTGCAGGGGGGAGGCTTCTGGTTGTTGTGGAGCACGTGTCCCTGGTAACCTCCTAAACATAAGGCCCGGGAGCAAGCCCCGCCCCCAGGGACAAGCCCCTCCCCCGGGAGCAAGCCCCGCCCCCAGGGACAAGACCCCCCCTGGAGCAAGCCCCTCCCCCAGGGAGCAAGCCCCGCCCCCAGGGACAAGCCCCTCCCCCAGGAGCAGGCCCCTCCCCCGGGAGCACACCCCTCCCCCCCCCCGAGCAAAACCCGGCTCCAGGGAACGCCCCTCCCCCCGGAGCAGACGCCTCCTCCAGAGACAAGGCCTCTCCCTTGGGAGGGCCCCCCCCCTCAGCTGGTGCCAGTGGAGCCCGCCGGACCCTGGAGCTTGCTGCCGCCAAGCCAACAGACTGATGCAGTGGTCGCGTGTGGTTTGCTCATTCCCGTCCCCACTCCGTGTGTGGAAAATGCGGAAGAGAGAAGCGACTTAGTCCCTCAGCCTCCGCCCAAGGAAGCCTCTGGAGGCAGCTCGGAAGGAAAGTCGCCAGCTATCCTTAACCCAACGACCCTCTCAGACTGGCAGAGAGCCATCAACTCAAACCCTTGCGGGTCCATACGGTCAAAAGAAAAAGAGCTGAAAGGACGAAGCCCTTAGGAACAA